TAAGTAATAATGGATGCAGATTATGTTTTATTATACCAGTTCATTGAACAACGGATCAGTTTACTTCCAGGTGCAATCTTTTTAGAGAGGGTGGCTCGCCATGTCACTGAGAAAGCATCCATGGCAGGAACAGATCAGGATTTCAAAGCAGAAATAACGAAGGGAAACACAAGACACACACACACGCACATGAAAAACCTGGCCTTGATAAACACAATGCCAAAAAAAACAAGTAATTAATAATTCAATAAACATGTTTAAGGGCGAGGCAGGGGCGCAGTAGGTAGTGCTGTCGCCTCACAGCAAGAAAGTTGCTGGGTTGCTGGTTCAAACCTCGGCTCAGTTGGCGTTTCTGTGTGGAGTTTGCATGTTCTCACAGCCTTTGCGTGGGTGTCCTCCGAGTGCTCCGGTTTCCCCCACAGTCCAAAGACATGTGGTACAGGTTAATTGGGTAGGCTTAATTGTCCGTAGTGGATGAGTGTGTGTGTGGATGTTTCATAGAGATGGGTTGCGGCCGCTGCAGAGATTCATTTATTCATTCATTCATTTTCTTGTCGGCTTAGTCCCATTATTAATCTGGGGTCACAACAGCGGAACGAACCGCCGACTTCTCCAGCCAGTTTTTACGCAGCAGATGCCCTTCCAGCTGCAACCCATTTCTGGGAAACATCCACACACACATTCACACACACACTCAAACACTACGGACAATTTAGCCTACTCAATTCACCTGTACCGCATATCTTTGGACTGTGGGGGAAACCGGAGCACCCGGAAGAATCCCACACGAAGGGAGGGAGAACATGCAAACTCCACACAGAAACACCAACTGAGCCAAGGTTCGAACCACCGACCTTCTTGCTGTGAGGCGACAGCACTACCTACTGCGCCACTGCCTCGCCACCCAGAGATTAATTAACTAAATTAATTAATCTAGTATTGATTTCTTACTTGTCAAGAAAAAAAAATAACGTGGACTCCACTTTGGACCTGTTTTAATGCTGGATAAAAAAAAAATCAGTAGTCCCATGTAGGCAGGAAGATCTGTGTATGACACCCTTGTCCAGTTTCTCATCGTGCAACGTCCATGAAGGTTGGTCATGCTGACAACAAAATCAGGATCTGACCCTTCTGAGTCTGTAGTGTCAGAGGGAGAAGACAATATATCCTTCAGCTCGCTGGAGGGGTCAGGCTCCATAACCATTTTTTAAACTTTGGTACAAGTGAAATCCCTTTATCCTGTTGCTTGCTGCTCTTCACACCAGCAAATAACCAGCAGAATGGCATGCAAATCCACTTACCTCGTTTTTTTTTTTTTTTTAGTTTGTACTTCTCTTTGTAGCGAGGCAGTGACGCAGTAGGTAGTGCTGTCGCCTCACAGCAAGAAGGTCGCTGGTTCGAACCTCGCCTCAGTTGGCGTTTCTGTGTGGAGTTTGCATGTTCTCCCTGCCTTTGCTTGGGTTTCCTCCGGGTACTCCGGTTTCCCCCACAGTCCAAAGACATACGATACAGGTGAATTGGGTAGGCTAAATTGTCCTTAGTGTATGAGTGTGTGTGTGGATGATTCCCAGAGATGGGTTGCGGCTGGAAGGGCATCCGCTGCGTAAAAACTTGCTGGATAAGTTGGAGGTTCATTCCGCTGTGGCGACTCTGGATTAATAAAGGCTTAATAGGCTCTTGTCGGCTTAATAAAGACTAAGCCGACAAGAAAATGAATGAATGAATGACTTCTTTTTGATCTTGTGTACTCCATGTAGTTCTGATAACCGATATGCATATTTGGTTTTTCAAACACATTACACACAATAAGTCTGAAAAGGTCAATAAGTGTGCAAAGGTCACTCTCACACATTTACAGACACCAATACACACACTTTAATTTGCTGTTGTACTCCATATAAAATTGAGAATCTAAGCTTTTTTTTTTGGTACAGGCCTATCTGAAGGGTCATTAATGCCAATTGATGATCAACAGTAAAAATGACAAATTTGACCTCTTCCCTACAGGAACATCCAGCAACAATAAAAAATGCATGATAATATGGTGTCAGGGTTTTGTAATAACAAAAAGTGGTTATAATGGAAGTCAATGGGCCAAAAACAGCCAACAGTTAGGGAGCAAAACTGAAAATCTTTTGCTGCACAAAAACTAACAATGCATCAAGGGCAATGTTCTTACTAATCTTTCACATGTCCAAGACTGTGATATAAGGTTAAAAAAATCCAGTCCAAAATTACTTTTTATATTGGAAATACAGTCTGGTGAGACCAAGATAGAACTTCATGTCTTTATTTCTAAGTTGTATGCGAGGAGAAAACCAGGCACTGCTCATCACCTGTCTAATACACTCCCAACAGTGAAGTGGCAGCGTCATGTTATGGTGTATTTTTCAGCTGCAGGGACAGAATGAATCGAGGGAAAGATGAATGTGGCCAAGTACAGGTATAATCTGGATGAAAACCTTCTCCAGAGTGCTCAGGACCTCATACTTGGTCAAAGATTAACCTTCCGAACAGTTAATGATTCTAAGCATGCAGCTAAAATAACAAAGGAGTGGCTTCACAACAACTTCGTGACTGTTCTTGAATGGCCAGCTAGATCCCTTACTAAAACCCAATTGAGTATCTATGGAGCAACCCAAAAATGGCTGTCCACAAACGTTTACCATACAACTTCACAGAACTGGATCTGCAAGGAGGAATGGCAGCAGGTGCCCAAATTCAGGGGTAAAAAACTTGCATGTTTCTCAAAAAGACTCATGGCTGTATTAGATAAAAGAGGTGCTTCTACTAAATACTGAGCAAAGAGTCTGTATACTTCAAACCATGTGATGTTTCAGTTATTCTTTTTTAATAAATCTGCAAAAACATAAAAAATTCTGTGTTTTTCTGTCAATATGGGGTAATGATTTTAGCTAATGGCTGCAATATGCAATATGGCTGCAATGGCACAGAGTAAAACATTTAAGATGTTCTGAATACTTTCCATACCCACTGTATATGCACATGCCCTGCAGCCAACTATGTGCCATCACATCTGTGTGGACGGAAACCTTATTCAGGAAATGAGACATTTGCAATGGGTGAAATCCATAGAGGTAAACAGGTTGGCCTGGGCTTCTCTAAAATTAGCTGGACTCTGCAAGGGTAGAGTCACCATTCTCCTAGGAATGTAAGATGCCACAAGAACCTGTCTGCTGCATGGTTAAGCTGGGCAAGGATGTGGACAGTATGCAATTGTATAACATTATAAAATAATAAATGCAGCTAAAGTCTATGCCCTCCGGGTGGTTTAAATAAGTAACCACCAACATACAGTTCATCCAGACCAGTATGCATATTGCTTCCTGCACTGGAGGGGGACCGGCGGACAGCATGAAACAATGCCAACAGTTCCAGGCAATAGCAATGTAGCCATGGTTCAGTCTACGAACCAGCAGCTGCATGCTTGTTGCAAAATGGAAGCATGGAGTGCATCTCAAGGAAAAGTAGAAGAAGAGACTGCAGCTCCTACCATACTTCCAGAATCCTGTGGAGAAGCTGGAGGCATGAGGGAAATTAACCTGTCCTCTGACCTATTCAGAGCCATAGTGAACTGTGTTGTGGTTGTGAACTGGAAGGCAGCCTGTCCCATACTGGCAACACTCAAGAGTTCACACCCAAAGAGAGAACAAAATGCTTTATTTAAAATGCTCTTTTATTGCACTGCAATGTTTTTAAAGCAGGAGTAGCTCCACTCATCTCTTGTTGGCATGCCTCAGGGAAACTTGTGTCATCTGACAATAGTGGATGACATGGCGGTGCAGAGAACATGGTCAAGATCTGTGCAGAGGTCACACATGATGACTGGGGAGGGACCGTGATAGCGCAGCTTGGCCAGGTCTTGTACTGATGGTATGTGGCCATGGCAGTGATGGCAGCAGTGTAGGCTATGGTAGTGAGGGATGCAGAAAAGCTTTGTCCAGGAGCTTACCTCTCCAGGTGGTGGCAGCTTGCGGACAGTGAGGGTGGAAGAGCTTGAAGACTGGGAGCACTTCATCCTTCTCCAGGATACAGGGGATATCTAGGAAACCGAGAGTGTTCTACATCTCTCCTTTTATCCTCCACATAGTACCCATCTACTCAGTCAGGATCCTCCAATCACAACAACTGAGGCCACCTAGTAAGACACAGCTATCATATCTTATTTAAGGTTCTAGGTCACAGGCACCCTGTAGGGTGCAAACCAAGACTCTCCTCAAGAAAATGACAGCTCACCCTTCTAAGAAAGTGATGGCCATCCTGATAGATAATGAAGCCTATACATTGTGTGCTCTAGTAGTGGGAGTGCTCACCAAGATGCAACAGTGAGTGTGGGGATAAACTTCTCACAAGAGCAGTGTCTACATGCTAGACTGCCATACATGAAATACAGAAACCTTGACTGTTATCCAACTGGAAACTACTGCATCCAGAAACACACAATCAGTTTGACATGATTAGAAAAGTGTGTTTGCAGACCATGTTGCTCTCTTTGTGAAAACTGCTTTTTATAGTTGCCAAAGAAGCACACAGGGAGAGGAAAAAGATCCCAGCTTGACCACTGTTGCACCATTACACACCCTTGCAAACTGAAGAACATTGGAACTCTGGAAGTCAGGAGCTCAGTAATAGTTAGGATCTTTTCAGAGGTGTGAATGGCTCTGAAGACAAGTCTGAAGTGCTGTCTCACATGTGCTCCTTATAAACTCCTAAATGCGGAGAGAGTGCACTTGTAAGATTGCACTCACAATTCTATAGGCATTTCATTGGCCCTTTAGCATACATTTCAGAGTGATTTGCCCAATCTGCCGTTCTTTCATAACTCAGGCTGACCAACTGAGAGGGAACTAATTTACTACCAAATTCAAAATTTAACACAGTACTCATAAAAAGTATACCAAAACTGAACATAACACTGACACATGCATTGCTGTCTCATTCTTTAAACTGGTGTTTTCAGCTACTGTAGTTATATTTACCTGGGTAATGTTGGAGAATCCAATGATGAATGACACAAGGCAGACAATTAGGATGAAGATTTTTTTTCTCTTCCTTAGGACTGTAGGATATTCATCCATTAAAGCAGTGATGAAGCCTTCCACTGTACAAAACTGTCACAACAACACAAAATTCACAAAAACACAAAAAAAGTCATGCAGTGATTTTGTGGTTTAGAGACTTAAAAAAAAAATCTTATTGGACCCCCCCCCCCCCCCCCCAAAAAAAAAAAAACATTTATTTTTTGCAAATTTATTAGTCAGTTATTTTTTTAAAAATATGATTTGTGTTCCTAGTATAATAGTATAAACCTTAATATAAATCAGATATTTAAAAAGTTTATAAATATTTAATATTTTCTTACATGATGGATAAAATGGATATTGCTGTTTTTAAAGCTACTAATTTGTATGCGCTGAATTTGTATGTGTGTATAATACCTGACTGTCCAACCCCAGCATCATGAGCATTGAGAAGAAGAGAATAGCCCAGAGTGAAGACATGGGAAGCTGTGTGACAGCTTGAGGATAGGCCAAAAATGCCAAACCAGGACCTGATATTCAACCACCACAAACATCAGAAGTGTCAAAAAATACATTTTTACAGTTTTAAAATTTACAGCAACAAAATATACAAAATCAAATAAAAGGGCACTCATGTGCCATGACTTTTATTATTATTACAAAAATCCCTATTTGAAATTGTAAAAAAAATTTCACAGTTTACAATAAGGTTATATTGGTTAATGTAAGTTAACCTATATGGTAAAATAAACTAAGAATGAAAATACTGTTTGTATTTTTGAGAGTATATATGTATATGTGTACTTTTTTCCTGACAACTTTCAGTTTTAATCAACTACAATTATTTTAAAAATTCTATACTTTTACTCCGAAACTTTTCTCTGCTGCATTATTTAAATTTGCTTGCACTTGTGCAATTGAGTGATCACAACTTCTGCAATTCATTTCATTTTCCAAACAAGCCCATTCATCTAGCAAGTAATTGATAATACTTGATGGTGGCAACTGTTACTCCTGCTACAAACAACAGCAGTGGGGCCCCTAGAACAACCCTGGCCTTATTTTTGAGAAATATACAGAAATATTGATGTTTAAAAACTCACCCTCTCATGTCAAGAAATGTATTGAAATAAAGTGCAAATTCAGCAGTCGAGGGTGTCTAAAAGTATTTTAAATTTAAAATATTTTTTTATGTAAAACTTTATTTTTCAAATAAACCTTTATTATTATTATTATTAATTTATTCTTTTTTTTTTCGGCTTAGTCCCTTTATTAATCTGGGGTCGCCACAGCAGAATGAACTTATCCAGCACGTTTTTAGGCAGCGGATGCCCTTCCAGCATCCATCTCTGGGAAATTTCTCTTCTTAATATTATTTTAGATACAATTATTTCAGATACTTTTAGAGGTTTTACTCATGTAAAAATCTAAACAGTGACTTTAACATTGTCAAAGTGATTTTATAGTAAGATATCTTTAGTTTTATTAAATTATGGCTTTCAAGTACTATGAAACCCATATGAGTAATAATTAATAAAAGTTTTGTTCATTGTTCATGTATGAAACACATTAACTAATGGAACCTTATTGTAAAATGTTCATAACACTTAAAGTTCAGATGTTTAAAAAGTATAGAGTAGTGCAGGAATTATTTTAAAGTCCAGAAAAATAATTTGCCATGTGTTCCCTCATGATTTTAAAATACAACTTTCTAAAGTTTTTTTGATTAATTTTTATTTCAGTAAAAGAGTACAACACCTGCAACAAACATAATACATTACATGATAATAGACCTAATTATCCCAAAACTAATATAATTTGTTTAAGGATTGTTTTTTTTCCTAAACCCTCCTTTCTGTGATGCTAATCTGCAGTGATTGTTGTGACTGGTCTACTGCATGCAGTGCGAGTTGAAAATTAAACACCCATCATGGCTTATTAAGACAAAGTTGACGCACAGGCTGCTATGGTACAGAGTGGACCCAGTGCTGAAAACTATTAAATCAATGGAGATAAATACTATCACATTGCTCTATTCTTAACCATAACTACAAACTATGACAACAACATGCCTTCAGTTTTAATTGTACTATTTTGAACATTGACAATGGTGTGCCATCTGCACAAGCTTGTAGGAGTTGCGGTTTTGTTGACATGGCTTAAACCACTGAAATAAAAACAAATACAGTGCCTTCTATGTCTGGTGTACAAGAAAAGCTGATAGTGGCCATCAATGACAGAAGCCACAGGAGTGCAAGATCAGAATCCTGTTTAAATTGGTAAAGGAAGTAGCATGTGTTGTGTTTTCCATACGTTTTGTGTTGTGTACGACACCACAGCCAGTTAACCCTCTGAGGTCTAAAGTATCACCTGCAATACCAGCCTTTACCTACAGCACCCCTATCCCTCCCAACCCCCGCTTTTCACTTACTCAACAAGGGAGAACTACACTAAGAAATAAATCAATAAGCTAAAATAACAAAACAAAAAGGAAACATTAAACTGTAGGAAATAAAATGCAAAGAAAAAATAGGTTAACTTACTGAAACAAAAAGGGGGGATAATATAAAACCAATAAACTAAACATTAAAGCTACAATAATAAATAAACAAGACAAGGGACATAAATACTTAAATAAAAAAGGAAAATAGTATTAGGAAGACCCGAAAGGCTCAGGAACACAGGGCTCACAGCACAGACTCAGAGAACCAACAACCACCAACATGTAACAATGAAAATACAAAGACACGAGGGAAGACATGGTGTAACAGAAAAGCCAGGGGAAACAAACTAGGGGCATGGGTGGAAAGCAAGACTGGGAGGATTCAGGTAGCCTAAGCTCAGAAGGGCTGGAACAAGGACGTAAAAACTAGGATGGTTTAGGGGTGACAGATCAGGTAAACTGGAAGGTCTAGACAACATGAAGGGGGGAACAACGAGTCATCTAGGGAAAGAGATGATAGAGGGAGACTTGAACCAAGGCTTGAAGTATGGAACACATCTAGGGGGGGCCCTCCGGGGCTGCAGGAACTGACTCAGGGTTTGAATCTGAGGAGCCCTCCAGGGCTGCTGGAACTGACTCTGGGGAAGAAGTTGAGACTAGACTGTGCTCAGGTACAGGAGTGGAGACAAGACTGTGATCAGAGGCAGCAGAAACAGATTAATTGACCAGAGTGGAAACTAGACTATGTTCAGGGGTAACAAGCACTGGTTTAAGGACTGGAACAGGAACCGGACAGAGTTCATGAGAAATAACTTGTGGACTGAAACTATCTCTGCAAAACACTCAGGGGTCAAAGTCGGCACTGCACTGTGTTCAGGAGTTGAAGTTTTGATTTGAAGATTGGAGTCCTCTTCTGATTCTCGATAGGGGCTGAAGACAACCTTGAGAAGTCTCTCGTAGGGGCATGAGCAGACTCTTGGACTTAAGTCTTCATCTCACAGTGCTTGGGGACTGGGGAATCTTCTGAATACACTCAGTGGGTAATGTTGGCACTATGCTGTGCTCAAGAGCTACTCTCTCTAGAGTAGGAGCAGGCCCTGTAGGTACTCTACAAGCAGCCTCTGGGGGAACCCTTTCTGGATTGGATACAGGAAATGCACTCTTAATAGCATTGGTGAGGAGTGCCAGGAACTCATCAACAGACTTGGCAAGACTGGCATATAACTGCTGCAAAGTCAAAGGACTGCTCGGGACTGACCTCATCAGCTGTGATAGGGAGAGCAGGGTACTCTGTGCTTGCCTCTGTGGCCAGTGGCCATACCGGGCAGACTAAGAGCCCCAGGCATGGCTTGCATGACCAGAACACTGTGAGCAGACTGCTTAAAAACAGATTCTGGGAAGTCAGATACAGCAGGTTACTCAGAGATGGCCTCTGTGGACGAAATATGACTGTTAATCTTAACATAACAGATATCAGTGGACACAACAAGAACATATTATAAGGAAGGGTTGATAACACTTGGATCAGTGGGGACACAAAGACTACGGAGTTGAGAAGCAGCTGACTATGGGGCATGCTTCCTTTTCCTTCACTTAAGATGGGTGGAAACTGCACACTTGGCCTCTGTAGTATCGGCAGCAAACTTGGAGGATTTAGGTGAAGTGGCCAGAAACACATCAACTCAGAGACAGGAACAATCACAGTAAGCTGTAACATAGGATCAGGGTTAATAAACTGAAAAGCAGTGATAGATTTAACAGACTTGAGGGTAATAATACAGACATTCATATGTTTCAGATTTGAGTGTGGTGGACTTGACTGGCTTAGGGGAAACTTTCCTAAATAGAGCTTTCACAGAGATGATGTGGTCACACAGCGATGCAGCTAGCTGAACCACCGGCTCTCTGAAAGCCCATGGCTTCAATGTGGGAAAGGAAAAATAGTCTTGGACTTAACTAGACTGGGAAGGGAGGGTGGGTTGGTAGCAGGTAGCAGGGTAAGTAGCTTACCAGGGTTCAAGGCATTTCCCACCACTGCTGTCACAATGCTGCCAGTCTCTCTAGAGCAATGGAAAATAGAGCAGTGAGGCTGCTGGGTCCAGGTTTTGGCCTGTCACAGGATAAGGAAGGATGACCCAAATGCAGAATGAGTGCAGGGGGTATTCATTGACAAAGTTATATGAAATAGGGGTTAATTAGGGAACAGTTAAATAGGTGATGCATGGGTTAGTGCTGGCAAGTCCTGGAAGGAGCAAACAGATGAAAGGGGAAGTGCTAGAGTGCCTTGGAAGGAGCAGTCAAAAGTGCTGGGAGGCTAGCAGACAGAGCAGAGAAGGTCAGGCCAGGTATTATGAGGTCAAGGCCTTGAAATGGGCCATGTATAACAGTGATACTGAGTGTAGTTGTCTCCCCAGTGGCAGCCTGATGGAGGACACCAGCAGCCAAGGACTCACAGTGGCCAGGGCTAGACTGAGGCAATAGACAAGCACAAAAAACACAAAAACTGACAGGGGCATCTAAACTAAGAAATAAAACAACAAAATAAAATAAAACCAAAAGTAAATATTAAACTGTAGGAAATAAAATGCAGAGAGAAGATAAGTTAACTTGCTGAAATATAAAGGTAGGAAGTGAGGCTACTGAGACTAACAAGAAGTACAGTAGATGAGCTAAACAAGAGGATGTGGCAGCTGAAAACGAGGGAGAAACAGAGAAGCACATGGCAGACACAAGCATAGGTTGAGCCATGTGCTCAGACACAAAATAAATATAGACAAATACAATGTAAACAGAAAGAGCTTTGACGGTTTCAGTTTTATTGTCCAACCCCTGTATATCCCCAACCCCAAATCAAAAAAATTTGGCACAGTATTGAAAATTATAATAATTTAAAAAACATTAAACTAAAATTAAAATTTAGTGATGTCAAAATTAATTTTGACATGTATTTCATTGCACACAATACACCTACTATTATTTAATGTGTTCTTCATTATTTGTATTTTTTTTTAATATATACATATTCCAATTTTGGTTCTTGCAACATTAAGTTGGAACAGTAACAGACCACAGTACACACTTCCACTGTGGGATGGTCCATCCCAAATGCGTGCAAGCCCATAGAAGTCTACAATGCTCCTGAACACTGTTAACATAGGGCTTCCTTTTGGAACAGAGCAATTTTAACTGCCATTTGTGGATGTTTTGTGGTATTTGACTAAAGTTTGCCAAAGTAGTCCTGATCCTATGTGGTGATATTGCTTATAGATGAATGAGGATTCTTGATGCAGTGCCGCCTTAGTATCTAGGGATCGGAGATTAGGGTTGTTCAGCTTCACGCACTGAAATTCCCCCAGATTCCTTGACTTGTATGTAACAAATATGGCTGACCAGACACATAATTATTTTGCTTTATTCAACAACTGAGCCAACTTTTGCCCAGGGAAGACTCGAAACCTGATTCCAAGGTATTTATGACCCAAAAGGAATGTGCCATGCAGCACTGAACAAAGAACGGTTCAGGACTTTTTAAGTTCCTTGCTTAAGACTGGTATTTTAATGTAAACTTTACTCTCTTTATGTGTAATCATGTGTTTTGTAACATTTCCCTTGCTTCTGTATTAATAGTATTTTTAATAATTCTGTATACAAAGTTTAACTCGACCAAAGCCAAACAAACTCATAAACGGTTCAAGTTTAGACTTGTCATAAAGCTTACTTGCTGTACTAATTAATCGTTGACATTTTATGTTAATACGAGTACAACATGTTAACATTTTAAGAAATTTTAACATTTCTGTCCCGACTTGCATAAAATTTGCCTATGCAAATTCTTCTGCCTCGGACAACGACCCATAAACCCATGATGCAGAGAAGTTAGTTTCTAATTGGTCAACTTTCCATGGAGGGTGGATCCGAACCCGCCCTATATAAGCTTGGGACCAAAGCTACGCCTCTCTCTCTGCTCTGAACTTTTTTTCAAGCTTCCTGCAAGGTTTTCAAGCTCTTCAACCTCTTCAAACTCTCTGCAACTTCTTCAGAAAGAACTCTTTTCTCAACTCCTTTCCCTGAAACCTCTTCATCTACAAGAACGAGACCTTAGCAGAGAAATCTCCAAAAAAGCAGGCGGAGACCCAGACGGAAAGGGTTAATTGCACAGCTCGGACATTTCACATCCCCGATACCTTCTTTTTGTTATTTTTCTATCGAGAGTGAATTTAATTATGTTTGGTTTGCTTGGTTTGCTCTTACAAACTTCGAGGTTCTCCCATCATTACATCCTCTCAAACTCTTACTTTACCTTCTTTACTCTCCTTGTGTGAATTTGTCTTTGTTTTAGCTGTTAGTTTCTGTTAGATTAGTCAATAAAGTTTAATTTTGTATAAAGAAAGGTGCCTGTGTATATTCATGAATCTAATGTCTTAAACTTTGATCTTGTTACCCATCTCAAACTTAATGGGTTTTATTTTAATAGCGTCACTGAACGATTAATTTGTTCGGATCTAAAGAGTCGATTCATTTGAAGCACCGTTCAACTGAATCTTCCTCCCGTTAAGCTAGTCTGCTATATGTATAATGGTCCAGAAGATACGCGAGCACTGTAATCTAAATCATAACTCGCAACATTATAACGGTAGAAAAGGCACAGGAAGAATAACCTTGAGCTAATTTGTTACAGTAATAATGGTATAGATATGCGAGCACTCTAATCTACATTATAATTTGTTACAGATTAATAATGTAGATATGCGTGCAAAGTTAATGTACATTATAATTAATTTGCTACATTGTTTATTGGTGGAGAATAAACGAAGCATTAAATATTATATGTATTATATGTTATGTACTGTTAAAGGTGAAAAATCTCAATGGCTTCCTATCTTTCTTTGAAGAACATTATTTTTAAACATTTAAATAATTCTCTCACATATTTGTTGGCAAACCGATAATTACATAATAATAAACACCTGCTGACATTACCTGTTTCAAATCACATCAGTATTTAACCAATCAATCAGATTACTATCCCCAAACTGCCCGTTTCAACTTTTTGGAAATGTGTTGCAGGTCTGAATGACAGGAAAGGATTTATATTTACAAATTAAGTGACGTTGACCTGACAAAACATTAAATATTTTGTATTCATATTGTCTGCAATGATACACAAGTCAAAGTAATTTTGAAAATCACTACTTTTTTAATTTGTCTGTTCCATACTGTCCCAACTTTTTACACCTTTTTTTACAGGTGCTGGTCATAAAATTAGAATATCTTCAAAAAGTTGATTTATTTTTACTAATTCCATTCGAGAAGTGAAATTTGTATAATGTATACATTCATTTCACGCAGAGCAATATATTTCAAGTGTTTATTTCTTTTCATTTTGATTATTTTGATGACTTTTTAAGGATGAGTATATTTGTACATATACTGCTGGATGTACGAACAGCAATTTAATGCTAGTCGTGTTCATTTCTTACAGCTCATACCTTTTTAATGGTTTATTTTGATTGTCTGCATTATTTCTTTCTGGATGTTACAGAATCCAGACAGCCTATAACAAGTGATACACAGCACCACGGCAGATGTGTGTGCTCTCTCTTATTCACATATACACACAGCACCATGGCAGATGCATGTGCTCTTTATCTTTTTGAAACGCTTTATTGTTATACTGCTTGAACGCTATATTGTTATACGCTTTCATTCAAATTACACCAGAGTTACTGACCGCTACCGCCTTTTATTCAAAACTTTATGCAGACCTCTAACATGGGCTCCCTTTGGCTCACTGAAGACCAGACAAGCTGCAGCATTCTAGATCCTCTGTAGAGGCATGACAGTGCAGGATGAGAGACCAGCAAGAAGAGAATTGCAGTAGTCTAGCCTTGAAATGACAAGAGCTTGGGCTAAAAGTTGTGCAACATGACCTGTTAATAAGAGTCAAATTTATTGGTTGTTGAAGAGTGCAAACCTGCAAAATCAAGAGGTGTTAGCAACGTGTCCTTGAAGGACAACTGATCATCCAGGATTACACCAAGATTCCTTACCGAACTACATGTGGAAATGGTGGATGATCCCAGCTGGATTGACGAGGACAAGAAGTTCAGTTTTTGCCAGGTTAAGCAGTAGGTGGTGGTTTTTCATCCAAGCCGTGATATCCTCAAGGCTGTGTGAGATTCTTGCAGCTACCATGAGGTCATCTGTATTAAATGAAAGATAGAGCTGTGTGTCATCAACACAGCAATGATAAGAGAAACCTCATGATTTGATGATGGTTCCCAGTGATGTGATGTAAACAGAAAATAGTAGGGGATATGGAACAGATCCCTGTGGCACACCAGTGGCCAGCTGATGAGGTTTTGGATACCTCTCCTCTCAAAGTAACTCTCTGCTGTGTGCTCAATGATCTGCTTGTGAAGTAAGACTGCAACCAGCAGAGTGGGGTTCCAGTGATGTTCATTGAGGATGGACAGTAGAATATGGTGATTCATTGCATCAAAAGCAGCAGACAGGTCGAGTTAAAGTAGAATGAATGATGTACAACCTGCTTTGGCAATCCACAGGGCTTCAGTGACTTAAAGACTTTAAAAATGTCCACATTTGAATTGGTTTGCATACATCAGGTTATTGTGAGATAAAATGTGAATATCTAGTTGAAAACAACGCTTTCTAGTGTTTTGCCAATGAAATGAAGGAGAGAGACTGGTCTGGAATCTTCAACCAGTGAGGTGTTGAGTGATGTTTTTTTGAGCAGTGGGGTTACACAGGCCTGCTTAAATGTAGTTGCAGTGCCAGTGTGGAGTGAAGTGTTAATGATGTGTGTTAGAGTCGGCACAAGGATTGGAGATTTGTTCTGCAGGATGTGTGAAGGGATTCGGTCAAGTGGGCAACTTGTGGGATGGGCGTAATGGAGAATTTTAGATCTCTATCCTCCATAAGGAGTGAGAAGGATAAGAACGAATTCTCAGCAGAGGGTGTTATTTGATGGAGGAATGGGATGTGTTGGAAAACAGATTTGAATGCTGATGAGTGTTTTTTTTTTTTTTTTTTGTAAAAAATGAGACACCGTGGATAGAAATGCAGCAGGTCTCTTGCCATGTCTATTTCAAC